TCTGTTTCCTCCACTTCAGCAAACTACAGCAGAAAAATGCTGCTTAAACATAAATTCATCAAGTAAATAAGGAACATTCTTAGTACAGGAGTAAATTTACACTATTTTTATGGGGTGATTCTTCTACTTTCACTTTATTAGTTACTATTATTTTGATATTCAGTTTAATATTTGAGTCAGTCTTTAAACATAAATGGATTCTTCTGTCTTTCTTTGTCTTCCATGATAGTAAAAGGGACATCCTCGGGCTCTTGGACTTCCCAGTTATTCATATAAATAATCTGTAGATGAATCGGTGATGAACATAGCAGCCTGGTAGCACTTTTAACCCTGTTTGGTCACATCAGGTGATTCGAAGACTTCAGCTGTGCTTGATGGGCGTCTTTTGTGTTTGTTCCAGGCTCTCGCTTTACTTTAGAGATTTTAAAAATGGACTAACTGAATGAAACATTGTACTCCTCCCTTTTAAAAGCGATACGGGTGGTATTGATTGACCCTCTGATCCTTTGACCTTCCCAGTGTTGCTGCAACACCGAGGCTCTGCAGCCAGAGACACATTTTTCTCCCTCCTCCGCCTCAGTCCCAACAAATTATGCTGAAATAACACACAAGCTGCCTAATCTGATATTCATTCCTTTCTTATATAGCCCTGCTTTCCAAAGTTGACTAAGGCCACATTATTTAGGCATTAAGGTAGTGTGATAAGGGAATTAGGCTGGTCATTAATCGTTTACACGTCAAATGCAGCAGAGCAGCTCGGGGAGGTGATTTAGCGAGGCAAAGCCATATAGCCCTTGTTAATCCACCTCTCACACGTTTTAATTGGAAGAGGCTTCCTGGATAGGAAATTTATGAATGGGTTTAAGGCCATTTCTTCCTTAAAGCCATCATTTATTTCATATTGTTAATAGGAGCTTTAACACTTTATCCACATGGAGACGTATTTTTCTCATCTTTCATTCAGCTATTGTCTTTTTGCACTTGCTGTTTAATTGCCACAGTGTTTCCGTGATCCCTGTGCTACTCATTTATGAAACGCCTCGGAAATGATGCAATAAAACAGACACACACATGAAAACAAAGTGTGGAAATGTTATTAAGATGGATTCGGTATGTCTTGTGTATGGTCTACACAACAGCAATGCTTTTTTTTTTTGCTTTTTTTTTTGTATCAAGGCCCCATGTTTGGGTCTCCACTTGAATCTCCATGACGACCCAAACATGAATGAACAGAAAACGGTACTATTGACTTAACCCTCCTAGTGGCCTTAAGCTGCTGCTGCTGCAGTGCCAGCATTGTGCAGGATGAATTTTTTTGCCTTCAAATCTTCCAAAGGTCAGAGAATTAATCCTCTGAATAAACCTTGTTTTTAGCAGGGCTGTGCACAGGCCACACAGGAGAGAGAAACAAGGTGCAGAAACATGCCTGTGATGGACACTTAATTGTACATTAATATGTGGTGGAGTGGGAAGAATTGCCTTTTAGGAGCCACATAAACAAAGAATGCAGGAGGTTTCCTGTCTCCTGCCTTTATTCCTGCTTTGTACTTCCATTCTTATTTTTCACCAGCCTCTGATGTGAAAGGATTTGGCACTAAGATGCACACAAGGGGAGGGGGAAAAATCCTGAAAAGTGGATCAAAAAAGTAAATGAAAAATAATGTCATATTACTGAAAATATGAGAGGCTAATTTGTGCCGACTTTTTGCTAATTTTGTTCTCGCCACAGAAAGAGGAGCCGTCACCTGCTCGGCGCCACAGCGCTGACAGTGCCAGTGATCCATGAAATAAGCTGCCGCTGGCTTTGTTCAGATAAGAATGAACAAATCTGCACAATGTACTGCTCTCGGAATCTCATTTTCATACTTGCATGCAGGCTAAAAGAAATAAGCTGTTTGCAGGCTTGATTAATCAGACATTTGAGGGTTTTTTTTTGTCTCTTTGATCTGTTCTGTCTCCTAGGTAACTTGGTTGACATTAATGTTGAGCCCCAGTAAAGACAATCAGGGAGTGTAGACTAAACTGATAAAAAAAAAAAAAAGGAAAAAAAAATTAAAGACCTTTAATGCTTTAAATATAGGAAAGGCTATGTTGTGAATTTAAAAGAGGGGGAAATGAGGGGCATGGAAGTGGGTTTTAATTTTGCTTTTGGAATGTTGGGGAAGGCGTGTTTTCAAGACCTTTTGCATTTCAAATGCAACCCCACAGGAGAGCAGGTTAATGTGGGTAATCCTGGTGTAGGAAAAAAGAAAAAGCTCTGTCTGTAAATCTCCAAATGAAACCATTTAGCATCATGCAGTTTCGTTTGATTTGCTCCCAGAATGAGCCGCTGTTTTTTTTTCTTTTCTTTTTTTTTCTCCCCCCTACACCGAGAGCAGGAGCTGTTCTCGGATTTGTCAACAATTTAATAAACGTGTGCTTTATAATCTCCACGTGCATCGGAGCCACTCAATAGCATTTAGCACCTACACCGCTCCAACGAGGAGCCGGGAACACCCTGGAGTGGTTTTATCTGCTCGCAAATCAACTGCAAATGTGAGAGCAATCACTCGTTCTAACTCTCTTTAAGAGGAGAAAACATGATTTGAGGAATTTAAAACCTATAAAATGGCAAAGAACTGGAGAACTGTCATAGTATGTACGCTTCAGGTTATGCAGACGCTCTCACAAATCTTCCAGTGACTGTATAGATGAATGCCTTGAGGGCCCAGCCGGAGCCCAGTACTTGCAGCCAGCCGAAGCCCTTATCTTAAATCCAAGCAAAGTACCATTAATCTTTTTGAAAGACCTTTATGGCTTTTAATGTATCCCAAATTAGAACATTTTACACCCTTGGTTCCTGAAATATGGTGATAAAAAGCCTTTAGAGTTTAATTTTTCCTGCCTGCTCGCTCTGACCTGCTTAATCCCAGCATGCATTAGGAGATATTTTAGTTTCAGTCTTTCTAATAAAGTTTATCCCACTTAATTATAATTGAAACATTTTTTTTCCAGCAGGTCTTTTTTTTTTTTTCCTTCTTCTTCTTCAAGTGGCGCAGTGGTGGCACATTTCTTCATTACCTTAAGACTTTCTTTCCCCCCTGATTGTACTCTGAATATTACAGAGAATTACCCAAAGGTTTGGTGAAATTGTTCCAAGTTGTTTATCAAAGTTTGCCTTTGCTTGAATAATAAACCTATCTCAGGAGTGAAAGAGGAGGCAGGATTTTTCCCTTTGTTTCCTGTGCTTCTGTGTGACTGGGGTTATTGGGATTATTCTGCTTCACAATACACACATGTCTTCCCTGGGATTTGAATGTTTGCCTCTTGCAGTCACGGTCATTCTCTTCACTGCTGATTCCAGCGGCTGCCTGCGCTATTCCAAACAGAAAAGTCTCTTTTACATCGGCGACGAGCGAAAGAGACATTTCTGATACGTACGACAATTTTTGGAGACGGGAGAAAAAATGGCTAAACGCTTGACATTGTTTCTCTCGTCGCTTGTTTGTTTCGTTCGCACGTTAAACTTGAAAGAAGCAATCTGCGAGAAATGATGTGTGGGAGCGACTTCAAACAAAAGGCGAAATAGATTAGAACAATTTTAATAAAACAACACTGCTATAATTTGTGTAGCTATGGGGCATTTCACAAGAATAAAAACACACACATTTATACACTCGCACACATATTCACCGGTAATATTGCACTGTTGTCTTTACTTTCATTTTCACTGGCTCTTACCGCATAGAGGTGTTTGGGGCTGCAGAACACTTTAAAAAATCTCCGTCTCAACTAATGATTCTTTTCCCTATCAATTAATGTGACAGTTATTTTCCTCAGTTAACCACTAAATATGTCAGATGGCAGTGAAATGTGCTCATCACATTTTCCCAGAGTAACATTATTCAAGGAAATATTCACATCTGACAAATTTAAAATGTGAATTTTCACATTCTTAAATGATTGAAGATTGAAAATTATCATTTTATGTTCTGTCAAGTCAGAGATTTTGTAAGATACAGTCCGTGATTATCGAGAAAGATTGTTGATATTTCGCTAGTTAGCATATTTAGCTAGCTAGCATTAGCCAGATCAGCCATCCCTCCTGCTCCCCGTCCTCCTGCACTGTCCAGAACACGCTGGCGTAGAGTTGTGTGGATCGGCCTGTTTGTTTGTTTGCCATTTCCAGAGCTAGAGCTACGAACACTGGATTTTATTTCAGAACAGGCGGCTCTTTCGACCGCGAGAAGATGTTCGATTTGTCAACAAGTGTATTCGATTTGAATTGCTGACTCTACCTTTAAAGTTTTAGGCTCTTTACATGTTTACATTCGTCGTGCAGTGTTGTAACGGAGGCTCGAGATTCATTTGAAGGCATGACAGCGGCACAAACATAAAGAATTATATCCTGATGGTCTGACCTCTACAGAGCCCCGAGATGAGGAGTCAAAAGACAATAAGTCAGTCCAAGATGTTTGTAACATCATTCCTGCCAAGTACCGAGGAGATTTGTTTTAAAGGCACCGCGTGGCCATTTGGTCATTTACTTTTGTTCTGATTTCTGCACTTAGAAATATTCATAGAAGCTGTTATTGCATTTATTGAAACATTCCAACTGTTTCTAAACTGAATCAACAACGTTATTTATATATATATCATGAGAAATGTTCAGTTTATCACATTATTCATGCTGCATTATATCTTCCTCATTGATACTGGTATATATGATGTATGCTTTTGTGGTGAAGCAAATTAACACTGCATGTTTTTTGTGTGCTTTTTACTCCGTCTAAGGTATGCTGCATTTAATCACCAATCCTAATTTCTCCCATTGTCATGCAAAACTTGCTAAACTGGAGGACAGTACGGCATTCATGGTTCTGCTGTGGTGTGGAGGAGGCAGCGCAGGCAGCAGAGACAAGAAGAAGCCACCCTCACACATCAGTCAGAAAGGTTTTTTTTCTTGCCACAGACTGATTTCCATTCTCTAATGGGCCTCTCGTCTGTCTGCCTCTAAATAGATGGCTGTGAAAATCGCTCAAGCTGCTGATTGCCGTGACTTTGTGCAACGCAAACAGGAAGAGGAAGCTTTGAGGGCAGCGCAGAAAAGGAAGAAGCAAATAGCCTGGGGGTACGACGTCTCCTCTGTCCTCATGTTTATGTTTGCCATCATTTCTGCCATGTGTGACACTCTGGGTTCAAGTGCAGTAGTGATAGAGCCACTGAAGCCTGAATGAGCCGGACTCTGAATGATTACTCATGCAGTGATTGAAGTTGACAGCTAAAATGCATTCATATAAGGCCCAGTAATTTAATGTTTTTCTGTGTTGCAGGTTTGAGGCGAAGAAACGATGGGAAACCAAAAGCAACATGGGCTTCATGTGAGACACGGAAAGAAAAGAAGCAGGACTGTGATTTTTGTAGCTAATTTGATAAAAAAAATTGTGTTTTTTTTATAGAGAACTGATCGTGTTTCTTTTTATTCTTTTTGTATATTTTGAAGACTTTACACCAGCAGCATGTGAGGGGGGGAAGTCACGCTGTTGGCTGTGGGAAGGAAAAAAAAAAAAAAAACCCAATCCAGTGAGTACAAGAGAGAGAAAAAATGATGGAGCATTCAAATTAATTCCTAAGGCGCCCATTGGTGTCTGCATTGTGTTATTTTTCATTACATTTCAGTGATTTGAGCGTTCTGGCCCCCTTTTTTTCCCTTCAAATTAAATCTGGTGTACATTACTGGATGATGCGTTTATTTATTGCTGTAAAGTGGGTTAATCATGAAGGCGCTCCTTTCTTCTTCTGAGGAAGAGAAAGGAAAGATTAGGGCTCTAATGCAATGTACAGGATAATGTGCGATAGGATTTGGGAGTAGAAAATGAAATTTGGCTGCTGTAAACTGTTGTGAGCGGTCGTAAACTGGAAGTTTGAAACAGAGGCTTTGCTGTTGGCCCTCGCCCATGCTGGGAGACTTGCTATTGTTTGCGAGGCTGAACAAGAGCCGCGCGCTGTTTCTAGAAGCCTACACTCGCCGCTCATTGTGCGATGAGCTCTCTTCAGCATCTGTAAACTCGTCTAAAAACCCATCGATTTCCTCGCGCTGCTACTTTGATCCTTTTTGATCTGCAGCGTTTTGCCTCCGCAGCTGCTCAACACTTCTGAAATGCTCATTCAGATTCCAGGAAGTGTTAATTGCAAACAGCATGCAAAAAGAAGCATAAGAAAGATAATTACTTTTATTCATAATGCTTGCTTCTTTTTTTTTTTTTTTTTTCTCAAACCATAGAAAATGATTGCTTTGCTTCAAGGTAATGAGAATTAAAATTAATCCACCTAAGTTGTTTGCATTGCACATATTTGGGCACTTTGTCCCCTGGTGAGGTGGGTTAGTCTCATAGCTTTGCTGCGTCGGCTGAATCAGGACGAGGAGAAATTAACAAAACATCAGCATTAAAAGTTTGTACGCAACTACGACACAAAACACCTGAGCTGAAGAAACCTAGATAGGACCGTCAAAACACGTGCAGAATTTTTTTTAAAACATGCCTTTTGGTATCATTTCACATCACGTGACTGTGCGTCTGAGAAGCTGTCAGTTGGTGGGAATTGGTGCTAATTAAACTATTAATTATCTCTGTAATGAGACGCAAGTTAAAACTGTGTTAAGCACATCAAAGTGCAACATGGGATTTCTTCACTTTGATGACTGCTATGAAAAATATATCTTGACTGAGGAGTGAGGAAACATCAGAGATGCTTCATTAACGGGACAAAAGGAAGTAAAAAAATTTGAGGGCCTTTGAAAGTTTTGAACAAGTGCTTAAGGTTTATTTACAGAGAAGTGCCGGATGCAGGTGTTGTTGTTTCATATTTCACAGATAATTCACAAGAGTTTTTCCCAAAAAAAAAGTGATGTTCTGTTTGAGCCGCTCTCGGATTACATTCATCATCTCCATGGAAGCGGTTGCCAGAAACAAAAGCCAAAGAAGCTTCAGAATATGCGTTTTCCACATGCAAAAGCCATGTAGCCGTTTTTTAAAGCTAGCAGATGTCAGTGAACATGACCAGCGCTGATGCAAGAGCAGCGCAGAGGCGTATCAATAGCATCTCACTTTATTAATCTCTTTGAACACAGCATAATGCCTTGAGCAGAGATGATTCTGCTTTTAAGCTGGAAAATCCACTTTCCCCTATCGTGGTGTTGAGGAGCTGTTTTCAATAGTCTGTTACTGCAGGCCAATCTTAGCCCCTGACCTAGGCTGATTTGTTGTGAAACTCGAAGACAAATTCCTTGGGCACATGTCGAACCACTTCTAGGAAAAGTGTTTGTTGTGTAAAGCGGGGTTTTAAAAACCAACAACAACAATCCCATTAAATGGTTGGAAAGCTGCTGTTGTATGAAAGGGAACATATGTCGCTGGTAACGAGACATCGGCGCTATCGCTCGCTGCTATCGCCGGCTAGAAGAGGATTAACTCCAAGGAGAGATCTCCGAGATGCCGCTGATAAAACGCTCGCGACGTTCAAAACACCTCACACCTAGAGGAACGTGGCTTTGTTTATCTATTGTTCCTTTATTTCGTATCACGTTTTAGCGACAGTGTTGTGTTTTATCATGTAAATTCAACTTTTTCACACTTATTTCAATTATAGTTCCGATTGGAGGGCGAATGTACAGTGAAGCTGAGAGGCAAAACAACATTATGACATTTCAGAAGAGCTGTAATTACGCTCCAGAAAAGCTTCGAATTAGATCAAAACAAATGAACAAAACTAAAAGAAATAATAATAATTTGAGAAAATGTGTTTTTAGAAAAACATTTCAGAATAATTTCATGTCATTTTAATACCTGTTCACCGTTTTATTAATGTGTTTCGTCAAATGTTGTTTTTTTTGCACCTCAGGGCCTCCGTAGAAAAACCCAACATGCTAGTTTTCATATGATATTATGTCAATTATGAGCACATTCCTGCACACAAGAGGTATTTTTGTTTCCTTCTCCTCAAAGCAACATACTGTGGGAGCGACAGGCAGTGTGGATGTTGACATATTCCTTGGCTGATTTAATGACCTGTTTAATTCTGGCACGTCTGCAGCCCTCTCAGATGTTTTGCAGTTTTAATTAGTGTAATCATCGCTCTTGAAAAAGGCCACAGGGTTGTTTAATGGGTCATGTTTGTCAAGATGCACAGAATTATAACACAAAAGACATGCCATTTATTTAGTGCTACAGTCTTCGAGTGATTATGGGTGTCACAATTGATAATTAGAGAAAGAATTGATTCATCTGAAAGCCAAAATGAACCTCGGTGGTGTGAGGAAATTAGTTTGACAGTGTTTGGATGAGCGGTGTTTACACTGCAGCGTGCCGGTGTGGGAACACTTTAGCACTCCGGTGCTAACTGAACCAACGTGCACACACTCGCTGCTGCTGTTTGTGGAGACTTTTGATGTGACATCTGGAGCAGCAAATGGATATTTTCAGTAATGACAAAACTTCCCATGAAATTATCAATGCACTGTTTCATTCTGCAGGCGTTTGTCACACGATAAGCAAGAGGTTATGGTTCCAATTTCCAGGCAGCAAAGTACAAAGTACTTCACACAGTTTCCTCAAACTGTGGGAATTAGGTCAGGCTAACAGTTACAATTTACAAAGACTGTTTAAATGCACTTCCTCCATAATTAAAAACCATACTATAGTATGTGGGTTACATATACACTATCCTAATTGTTTCTTAGTTCAAAACTGCTTGGAGAGCAGCTATTTTATCATTTAGCATAACTTGTAGAACAAAAAAAAAAAATAATGAAAATGAACTTTCAATTAATTTTCCTCTTTTGCTATCGTGAAATAAAAACATTCCCACGCACAAATATGCTGAGCATGCACTCATTATGTATTCATCTTCATTCTGCAAACCACATATTGCATTTTATCTGAATGAATTATTAACCAAGTTAATGAATATTTCAATTTTCTTTAAGGAACCATTTAACAGGCCCAACAGAGGTAATGACATCTTAAGCAGGGCAGCTACCTGGAAAAAAGGGAAGGAATCCACCATTTATTTGACCAGTCAGGTTAAGTGCTGCAAAACATGTAAGAATTATGAAGCTGTGAAAAGCTTTTATTGTATTTAACAGGAACATATGTGAATTTAAGACCTCCCACTCGCAATACTGTACAAACATGCCTTTACTGTATAAGTTACACCGACCTGGTTTTATTTCCACCCACCTGAAATCCCCTTGTATCTTAAGAACGGACACAGCATGATCTAGAGCAGCCGGGGGGGATTTACACTGAGAAAATGAATTTAATGGTGTAATTAACATTACCTTGATTTGTCCCAGGAAAGACCTCGGTAAGTCTGGCTTGTCTGCTAATTTATTGCTGAGTTCCTATATGAAGAACACTCACCTACTGTACGGCAGGTAATTACAAACACAGGCTTGATTAGAGGGGGGGGAAGAAACTGCTGCACACTTGTTATTGATCAATTAATACTGATAATACTGCAGTTACAGTCCAACTAGGCAGCAGCAATTCAACGTACGTTCAGTTAATCCTGAGATGCATGGCCCCGCCCCCAAAAAAACCTTGATTATACATAATTAATATTGTTATTTATGAACATACATCTTATTCTATACAGCTGGTAAAGTCTTTTTCATGGGAACATCTGAAGTATTTGACAACGTTTTTGTCTCCCTTTCAGGTGGATGTAGCTTTTAAAGGAAAAGGAGAGACTGTCCACAAACTAAAATCCACAATAAGATGCTACAGTTAGGTCATTGTGAGCCTTTTCTGTACATTCGATCGTCGTAGAACTGGTGAAAGAGCAACCTCTGAGGCTGGAGAACAGAGATAATGCAGCAATGCCAAAAACTGCAGTTCCTTGAATGGCCACTTGAGGCTGTTTGGAAAAGTGAGTCAGTCCCCATAGACCTCCATGTTAAAACGTCCAGCTTCACCGCAGAACCAGGCAGGTTTACAGCCTGCGACTAAACACAGTTTTGGTCTCTATAAATAATAAATATCCCATTCATGACAACTATAAAGGGTGATCAGTTTTCATATACTTCCCCAGTTTAAATTTTACTCGGTCTTATAATTAACCATTAATAAGGGCGTAGTGGCTTAGAGTGACAGGTGGGTGTATTCCTATCATATCATATCCCACCGCAGCTCAACTCATACTCAACTTTGTGGCTTGTTTCTGGATTAGTTAAGAATTAGAGTCAAGCACTGCCAAGATGGCGACGGCCGCAACCACCACACTGAGCTTCAAAACCATTTTTCAAGTAGTCTGACTCACTGGAGACTGCGTTTATATTCCGGTTACTTCCCAAGCGGATATCACACAGCATTCACCTCCTCTATCTGCAAGTTACCATTTTCGACTCTGACAGCGATGTTGATCTGACACAGCCATCCTCACTTGGAGTTTATTTGCCGCATCTTTTCACTCTGGCAGCGGCATCTGCCAGGGACACTACCAATGTACTGATCCGTTCCACTTCCCACAAGCTTCTGTGGTATTGGTTTAATACATTTCGGCGTAAGGCACATACAGCAAGCAAAGCATCTGTAGTTCCCCTTTTGGGCAACAATTATCAAATTATGTTTTTCATTTTAGCAGGTAAAGTCATGTCACACAATCCACATATGTTTGTTGTTTTGGTTTTTTTTTTGTTTTGGTTTTTTTTTTACTATTATTGATTTTGTTGTGGGGAA